AATTTAATCGGACCTTTTTAAAAAAATTAATTTTATTTTTCAGAAACTATTTGAGACAGAGTTTACCAAAAATGCTTTTTATATCTACTAGTGGGTAAATGAAATGTAGATATATTACGACTTTTCTTGGAACTTTAGTTTCGGAGATATAAATTTAATCGGACCTTTTTAAAAAAATTAATTTTATTTTTCAGAAACTATTTGAGACAGAGTTTACCAAAAATGCTTTTTATATCTACTAGTGGGTAAATGAATTTGTAGATATATTACGACTTTTCTTGGAACTTTAGTTTCGGAGATATAAATTTAATCGGACCTTTTTTTAAAAATTAATTTTATTTTTCAGAAACTATTTGAGACAGAGTTTACCAAAAATGCTTTTATATCTACTAGTGGGTAAATGAATTTCTAGATATATTACGACATTTCTTGGAACTTTAGTTTCGGAGATATAAATTTAATCGGACCTTTTAAAAAAAATTAATTTTATTTTTCAGAAACTATTTGAGACAGAGTTTACCAAAAATGCTTTTTATATCTACTAGTGGGTAAATGAATTTGTAGATATATTACGACATTTCTTGGAACTTTAGTTTCGGAGATATAAATTTAATCGGACCTTTTTAAAAAAAATTAATTTTATTTTTCAGAAACTATTTGAGACAGAGTTTACCAAAAATGCTTTTTATATCTACTAGTGGGTAAATGAATTTGTAGATATATTACGACTTTTCTTGGAACTTTAGTTTCGGAGATATAAATTTAATCGGACCTTTTAAAAAAATTAATTTTATTTTTCAGAAACTATTTGAGACAGAGTTTACCAAAATGCTTTTTATATCTACTAGTGGGTAAATGAAATGTAGATATATTACGACTTTTCTTGGAACTTTAGTTTTGGGAGATATAAATTTAATCGGACCTTTTTAAAAAATTAATTTTATTTTTCAGAAACTATTTGAGACAGAGTTTCACCAATAATGCTTTTTATATCTACTAGTGGGTAAATGAATTTGTAGATATATTACGACTTTTCTTGGAACTTTAGTTTCGGAGATATAAATTTAATCGGACCTTTTAAGAAAATTAATTTTATTTTTCAGAAACTATTTGAGACAGAGTTCACCAATAATGCTTTTATATCTACTAGTGGGTAAATGAATTTGTAGATATATTACGACTTTTCTTGGAACTTTAGTTTAGGAGATATAAATTTAATCGGTCCTTTTAAAAAATTAATTTTATTTTTCAGAAACTATTTGAGACAGAGTTTACCAAAAATGCTTTTTATATCTACTAGTGGGTAAATGAACTTGTAGATATATTACGACTTTTCTTGGAACTTTAGTTTGGGAGATATAAATTTAATCGGACCTTTTAAGAAAATTAATTTTATTTTTCAGAAACTATTTGAGACAGAGTTCACCAATAATGCTTTTTATATCTACTAGTGGGTAAATGAATTTGTAGATATATTACGACTTTTCTTGGAACTTTAGTTTAGGAGATATAAATTTAATCGGTCCTTTTAAGAAAATTAATTTTATTTTTCAGAAACTATTTGAGACAGAGTTTACCAAAAAAATGCTTTTATATCTACTAGTGGGTAAATGAACTTGTAGATATATTACGACTTTTCTTGGAACTTTAGTTTCGGAGATATAAATTTAATCGGACCTTTTAAAAAAAATTAATTTTATTTTTCAGAAACTATTTGAGACAGAGTTCACCAATAATGCTTTTTATATCTACTAGTGGGTAAATGAATTTGTAGATATATTACGACTTTTCTTGGAACTTTAGTTTCGGAGATATAAATTTAATCGGACCTTTTTAAGAAAATTAATTTTATTTTTCAGAAACTATTTGAGACAGAGTTCACCAATAATGCTTTTTATATCTACTAGTGGGTAAATGAATTTGTAGATATATTACGACTTTCTTGGAACTTTAGTTTCGGAGATATAAATTTAATCGGACCTTTTTAAGAAAATTAATTTTATTTTTCAGAAACTATTTGAGACAGAGTCCACCAAAAATGCTTTTTATATCTACTAGTGGGTAAATGAATTTATAGATATATTACGACTTTTCTTGGAACTTTAGTTTCGGAGATATAAATTTAATCGGACCTTTTTACAAAAATTAATTTTATTTTTCAGAAACTATTTGAGACAGAGTTCACCAAAAATGCTTTTTATATCTACTAGTGGGTAAATGAATTTATAGATATATTACGACTTTTCTTGGAACTTTAGTTTCGGAGATATAAATTTAATCGGACCTTTTTAAGAAAATTAATTTTATTTTTCAGAAACTATTTGAGACAGAGTTTACCAAAATGCTTTTTATATCTACTAGTGGGTAAATGAACTTGTAGATATATTACGACTTTCTTGGAACTTTTAGTTTTGGGAGATATAAATTTAATCGGACCTTTTTAAGAAAATTAATTTTATTTTTCAGAAACTATTTGAGACAGAGTTCACCAATAATGCTTTTTATATCTACTAGTGGGTAAATGAATTTGTAGATATATTACGACTTTTCTTGGAACTTTAGTTTCGGAGATATAAATTTTATCGGTCCTTTTTAAGAAAATTAATTTTATTTTTCAGAAACTATTTGAGACAGAGTTTACCAAATATGCTTTTTATATCTACTAGTGGGTAAATGAATTTGTAGATATATTACGACTTTTCTTGGAACTTTAGTTTCGGAGATATAAATTTAATCGGACCTTTTTAAAAAAATTAATTTTATTTTTCAGAAACTATTTGAGACAGAGTTCACCAATAATGCTTTTTATATCTACTAGTGGGTAAATGAATTTGTAGATATATTACGACTTTTCTTGGAACTTTAGTTTCGGAGATATAAATTTAATCGGACCTTTTTAAGAAAATTAATTTTATTTTTCAGAAACTATTTGAGACAGAGTTTACCAAAAATGCTTTTTATATCTACTAGTGGGTCCGAAACTAAAGTTCCAAGAAAAGTCGTAATATATCTACAAATTCATTTACCCACTAACAAAAAGTTTTCAGATAAAAGTTGTAGATAATCACATCCTTATTGATATTGTGTCCTCCGTTTTTTTTCTAAAGCCTGGCATTTTTGACATATGACACAAACATATGTTCTTTTAAATGGAAACCATAGTGGGCCATGACTTCATAAAAAGCGCCATTTTTTAAGCTTTTTAGCGATATAAGCTATATTATGTTTCTTTCGAAAAGTTACTGAGTTATAGCCAATTCTTTTAATTTTTAAACAATTTCACTTAGTTAGCCATGGAAACAAGTTCAATCGTCGTTGCTTTCAGAAATGTGAAACTGTAACATCCAAACTTTATAAATTAAAATATACAGAAATTGTCAATATGAATTTATCAAATGATGAAAAGCGTGTAGGATTATTATTGGTTCAACTTTTCTTGGCCATACATTTTCGAGGATACGTTGACCGGTGAACGTTACTTACGTTTATTAGAAAAGTTAAATTTAGATATTTGCGCTTCAAAAGAATGGTTCCAACATGACTTTCATTATGACACTCCCTCTAATAAGAAAGAAATGTTAAAAACTATTTATATCATAATTATGCAAACTCGGGGATAGAAAGGGGTGGACCAATTGCATGACATTTTAGATCTTTTTAGGCGGTGTGGTCAACAATAAGGGCTACAAAAGAACTTATGAATTAAGAGAGGCACTCGAAGAGGCGGTACGGGAGAAGTTTAATACAGTCGACCGGCCGTAGTCAACCGTTCTGTGAAAATTCATAAGTTCTTTTGTGACCCTTATTGTTAATCATACCGCCTAAAAAAATCTAAAGTGGATAGGTCAGGTGATCGAGGAGGCCTATGCAATTGGTCCACCTCTTCCTATCCCTGCATGAGTTTGCATAATTATGATATTAATAATTTTTAACATTTAACATTTCTTTTATTATTATGGGGAGTGTCATAATGAAAGTCATTTTGGAACCATTCTATTGAAGCGCAAGTATCTAAATTTAACTTTTCTAAAAAACGTCACTAACGTTCACCGGTCAACGTATCTTCGAAAATGTATGGCCAACAAAAGTTGAACCAATAATCCTACATGCTTTTCTTCATTTGAAAAATTCATATTTACAATTTTTGTTTATTTTAATTTATAAAGTTTGGATGTGACAGTTTCACATTTCTGAGAGCAACGGCGATTGAACTTGTTTCCATGGCTAACTAAGTGAAATTGTTTAAGAATTGGATATAACTCAGTAATTTTTCGAAAGAAACATATTATAGCTTATATCGCTAAAAAGCTTAAAAATGGCGCTTTTTATGAAGTCATGGCCAACTATGGTTTCCATTAAAAAAAACATATGTTTGTGTCATATCTCAAAAATGACAGGCTTTAGAAAAAAACGGAGGATACAATCTCATTAAGGATGTGATTATCTACAACTTCTATCTGAAAACTTTTTGTCTAAAATAGATTATAATGGAATTAGGGACAATTTTTAAAATAACCGAAATTTGTTTTTTTCAAAATATTTAGTAAGCCATGAATTTTTTCAAAAATCTGAAAGGCGCATGTTTATGACCCCACAAAACTGCAATTCTTTCCCCATTTAACCGACTCTCTATCTCCAGTAGTTTCCGAGATACCCATAGAGAACATCGTAGGAAACTTACCCAGTATATTCGTCAGTACTTTTAGGTAGTTATTAATAGAACACGAAATACTTAAATATCTTGTCGTCAAAAATCCAAAGGTGTCAGAAAAAACACATGCATACATACTATGATATTTAAGATAAAACTGATATCTAAAATATTGGAAGAATCCGCAATATGAATCTGTAAGTTAATTTTTGATAAGTTTTATGTAAAGTTTTAGTAAATGACGTCTAGAGATTGACCTTGTCAAAAATACCATCGATTGTCATGCCCCAGTCGGCTTTGACACCGTTTTTTTTTTCAGATATTTTAATTATACATATTTTTTTCTTACCTGGGCACTGGATCCGGAAAAAACTTCTCCTCTGTATAATCTTTTGAAAACAACTGCATACCGATGACGGCGAAAATATAAATCACTATCACCAAAACGAACGTCAAGTTTCCCAGAGCTCCGATGGTACTGATGATGATGCTGAGCAGTACCTTCATCGTTATCCAGCTTTGGGCTAATTTTAAAACCCGCAACTGTAATAGAAAAACTGTATTTTTATGATTTTTCAATTCTCAGTTTTGTTATTATGAATAATTGATACAGTTGATAAAGTTCTATATAATTATTTAAAAACTTACGAGTCGTAGACCTCTCAGAACCGAGAGTCCATCAACCAGTTCAAAAATAAGATCTAACAGACTAGCTGAAACAATGATCAAGTCGAAAATGTTCCAACCGCAGTGAAAAAAGTCTTTGTTCAAAGCCATAATCTTCAAGCAGCATTCGAATGTGAAAATCGATGTAAAAACCTATAAAAATACAAAAGAGAATCGTTTTTAAAAAACCGTATGTACAGGGTGTATCACGAAGAATATAGCTCTTGGCTGTATCTCGGAAAGTATTAGCCGTAGAGCTCGCGAAAAAAATTATTTATAACTAAAGATGCTATGAAAAATTGCTGGAAATTATTTTCAAGTTTATAAACGCTAGAGGGCCGTTTCGCCATGAAAAATAAGAAAATGGAATTTTTACCAAATTTTGCCTAGATAAGGGATGCTATAAATAATAGTCTCATAATCTTCAGTGAATTTTCATCTTTTTAAATTTTAAAAACCCTGTTCATCGATGACGGCATAGAGGTCGAACTAAAGTTAAAACAGGATAAATGTATAGGTATATGTGCAGTTTGATCCCCATGTTAACATCTACCAGGGTAATTTTCGAAGACTTGGGTATTGCATTTATTACAATAATTTGTTATAAATTACTTATAATTTTTCTTCTATGAAAGTTCCTATGCAAAGTAGTGCGAGCATTAGATTAAAGTCGGCGGTAAGAGTGATCAACCGCTTCTTCAAGTAGTAAGAAAAGCAATCAAAAGATAAAAAATGCTGCTGAGACTATCAAAATGTTCATATGATAATATTTTGACGTTAAAACTCTTACTTTTTTCGAGAGCCTATCGAGAATTCACTGAAGCGTCGTTTCTTATGCACTGTCATTGATATCTTAATTATTAGATAGTAAAACATTTAGTAACATGGTATTCTGGTATATTTGTCGAAACCAAACTAAACCAATAACTAATTTTTCTATCTTATTTTTCATTAAACTGGTCCTAATCAAGAGGGCTAGGGATACCGTGTTAGAAAAATAAGGTAACATGTTAAATTGTAACACAGCGCCCCCTAGCATCTATGTTCAAAAACTTATTATAATTGTTTAAATGATATAATATAGAATAAGAAACGCTCTTTTAAACTAGTTCTAGTTTGTTGAATTTTGATCATCCAGTCCGGAGTTAATAACATTTAAATAAAAACAAGTCTAACCTTCCCCCGCCACTTTATTTTAGCAGATAGGGGAAAATAGTTCTAACAAAAAAGATCCAAAATTTACTGAAGATTATGAAGTAATTATTTATAGTACCCCCAAACTAGGCAAAATTTTGTAAAAAATCTATTTTATTATTTTCCATAGCAGTTGCGCCCTCTAGCCATACGGCTACTCTACTAACTTCTAGACCCTGTACCTCTGACACATTTTTACTTATTATTATCTGCTGAATATACTGCCGAAATTTCCCGAATACAATTCGGACCACCCTGTATAATTTATCAAAGAAAATAGTAATATAATAAAATAGTATAATTAATTATAATTTATATTCTAACCTTATTTCCGATGTCTAAGGCTCTCAACACTGACTCGCTCATCCCATGATGTTCCATGGCCAAGAACATTGTATTCAGTACAATGCATACAGTGATGGCTAACTCGAACAATGGGTCTTTGACTATTTGGTACAAGCCTTGTTGAAATTGTAGCCAACCGTCGTAGTCCATACAGCATCTTTCACAACAAGAACAATTTCTATCTGGAATCTCTGAATCTACAAAAAATTAGTAAAAAATAGAGTAGTAATAACATGGCAGTCGTCAACGTTCACCAGGAACATGACACTTGAAGGAGAAGAAGATTAAAGTCATGTCTAACTGTTACTTAAAAATAAGTAATACCGTTAAGAAGTTTCAATGAATCTGCAATACTATTTATTTACAACCACATATGTAATACTGACATTACTGACTTTTAAAAAATTTGAAAGTGTCAAATTATCTACATTTCTTCCCTCCTCCATTTCTCTCCTCCATTTCCCTCACTTGGTTTTTCTTATTTCTTGCCTCATTTAATTAAGCCAAATATTCTTGTAATATCTTTATTAAATACTTATCTAACACCAACAAAAATAAACAAGAAGATTAACAATAATAATTACAGATTTTAATACATTTATTTGTTGAAGGTAAAAATGCTAGACTTCTTTGGCTTAAAACCTACATTTAAAAAAGCGACGAGTTTGTGATATTTTGATATGTCAGTCTTTTCCCTTAATTCTAGCATTGTCCGTATCATGCTGTACGTAGCCCAAAGAGTAGATGACTTTTTCTGCCTTGCCATGTCGCTAAAATATGCCATCGAGACTGTCTCCGAACCAATATTCTTAGCAGTTCTTTCGGCACACCATTTTTCGTATACTTTCAATGCTATCTCATTTCTCTGGAAGTAAACTGGCTTCTGCTCTTTTTGCAGCTTCTGTAAAGTTCTGGTGGAGTACCAATATTAAAGTAGTCTTCATTATCAGAACTTTCCGACAACATTCTGGCATTCTATGTTATATAAATTCGAAAAAGGGAACGAGAAATTCAAAACTGTCACTTAGTTGTTTGTTTTGCTGTTGTAGGTTTGCGCCATAACAACTAGCGATGGGAACTATCGAATGAATTGGACTATCGAATGGTTACTGAATGAATGATTTCAACTATCGAATGGTTTTATTCGAATAAAATCATTCATTCATTTGTATACTAAAGCATATGTGACAACCTCGCCGCGCGACTAAATGGTTATCGTTGAGCCACGACTACCGAATGCTTTTGATAAATGAAATTTAGTATTCGTTTGATTTTTGTGTGCGTCAGTGCATTATTAGTTCTTCCAACTTTGTATAACTTCGCCTTATAAATACTGTGCTATTTTTGCGTTTATTAAAATATTTAAAATACTAAAATAGTTTTTTTAGTTGACGATTGTGTGCGGTGCAGGTGGTCAAAATTTTTCCGAAAATTTGTGTGATTTTCCGTAGCCCGATCTTTCAATTATTTAATTTTATATGGTATAATCTACATATATAAAATGCTAATGTTTATCTGTGTCGTCTCTACTGAAGTAACGACTTACTCTAGAAAATTGCTTTTTTTACTAAAAGATAGCTAATAGGCTCTTCTAAAAATTGTCTGTTGTATTTTAGATGTTTTAATAATATGAATTAGTTGGAACTTAATTATCATATTTAAGTAACGTGGTTAAGTAAATGGTTATCGAACTCAAACTATGGGGTGAGAAAATTAAATTGAAAGTTTTACACGTGCCAATTTTTAAAAAAAAGTTAACAATATTTGTATTTTGTTTATGCTAATTCTCTTACGTGTAGCTTTTTGCGAAGAAATATTTCATTTATTTTTTAAAATAAATATAAAAAATATAAATAATTTAGATTTCTAATTTTTTATTAATATTTTCCTTCCATTACACTGCATGCTTAAAAAAATAATAAATGTTTATATTTAATGATTTTAAAAATTGTTGTTAATATAACAAATTAGTTCTGTAATTATTATTATTTAATATACCAACGTTGCCAAAAAATTTATAGAGACTATATTATTTTTAAATAGGATCTAAGATAAATGATTTTGACATCTAATTTGTTGTTTATATTTTGCTACTACTTAAAAAAATGTTTATATTAAATGATTTTAAATTTTGTTGTTAATAGGTATAACAAATTATTACTGTTATTATTATTTATTAAACCATACCAGTCTTTGCTTAAAAATATTAAAAATCACTTTTCTACATCCAAAATAACAAGTATTATTGCATGTGTAACAACTAGAATATTAATAAAAAAAAATGCAAAATATATAGACATACTATTACCACACTATTACTATCCCTAACTAACTAAAGCCAAACAATAATATTCTTTGCTAATATCAACTAATACCAATATATGGCAACAGCGCCCTTCATAATGTATTTTCTGTGTAAATACTAGCACCTCAATAAAAAAAATAACGTGTCCTTATCTTTATCTGACTCCGCAAAAAATCAAAGATGTCGGCTTCTTTAATAGCATTGCCACCGACCGCTGTCGGGTTTCTCGGAAAGAAACCTACAACGCCGGGCAACAACTAAAATCCAGTTAATATTTTATTATAATCGATCCTGACGAATAAATGAATTTCATAAATGAATGAATTTTATAAATAGCTATCGAATTATCCGAATGAATTGCAACTATCGAATGTTTCGATAGTATTCATTCGATAGTTCCCACTACTAATAACAACCACTGGTACCGGTAACTAAAGATATGGAAATTCCAAAACAGAAAACGACAAATTTTCGCAAATTTTTTTTTCAAAATAAAATACTGTCTCTATTTTTTAATTAATGATGTGTGATTGTAAATAAAATAGTATGCAAAGCTCGGAGGAAAGTTTTCATTATTGTCTGGAGATTTAGTTAATCTCTCGACAGTAATGAAATATAGTAAACGCCACGAATGTTTGGGAGTGATTCATCACTTGATGAAGTTAGAATCTACACGCGCGCTAACATTTTTACATTAAAAACGTAAATTTTTACCGCAGACGTAGGTTTTTAAAGGCCCGATCTAATCATCTGCCTGCGCTCCTCCTACTTATTCTAAAATGTTAGCGTGATTGACAAAGACGATACTATATCGCGTTTCTTTGATTGATTCGTTTTTGTGCGTCAGTCCATTGGTGTGCTTGAAGTACGACCAATGCGGCATTCTAGTTTATATTTATAACCAAATATATGTTTTGACAAGACTTTGACAGTTAAAACAACAAATTACAACAGAATTTACTTTTACTTTACTAGTTAAATTCATTCCAAAAAACGATACGCCACTGGCCAATAGAACAGTCCAAATGCGCCTAGTTGCCGGGGACGGAAATTTTAGACTTCTCTGTCTCTTCTGTCCTTGTTTGACACATTGGAATGTTTGATACACTACCAACGAGTATTTATGAATGAGATGTTCAGTCTATCTTTATAATGTCTTTGGTAATATACTATTTTTTAACGGAAAATGTCAAAAAATGTATTATATTAAACAATTATTTTTCAGAAAACTTTAGAAGCGTGTTTCTGGAGACAAATTACATATACCTACCTACTAACTATTAAAATATTTGTGAAAAAAAAATCGATCTACCCTCGTACGTAATTTTGCTTACTTATAACGACGATGTGAGATAGGTAGTCGGGCTGGAGCTTGTACATATCCGATTTTTTCTTATCGGAGTTCTTGGCGTTGATGCCGCTACTTCCGCTGATCCCGTTGCACTTGATCACCCTAATTTCCTTTTGATTTACCGCTACGGTTACCGGTGTGATTTCCAGTCTCTGGAAAAAGATTTACGTGATTTAGTTACTTGCACGTGTATTCTAGGAAGAGGAGGATTTAGAATAGCAGATAAGCTACTGATTATTTAATACTTGCTAGGTTTTTTTCTTATTTCTCTTATTAGCAGGAAATTTCCATAGACCTTTATGGTGGGGCATTTTCACTAATTATTAATTAATTCTAATCTTATTATTAATTAATTCTAATAAAAAAATAGTATGTCGTCTTTTTTTATGAAAAACTACTTTTTCATTTAATTTTATTATTATTCCTTGATCTTCTCTTTTAGTTGGGAAAATTGTGCCAAAAGTGTAGATTGGAGTGTAGAAGTAGTAGATTTTCCGATTTGCCTAATCATGTTTTCGTCCTTTTTAAATTTATGAAACGAGCTAAATTGAATAAAAAGTACCATTTTTGATATTAATGTATTCATATATTATTTATTAAAAAAATTTATATAGGTACCCAAGTAGCATTTATTGTCGATTCATTTTCGAAACACGAGTTTCTCTCTTTTTAGACACAAATATGATATATGTAGATGATTTGTGCCCGACTCCATGTCAATTTTATAAAATAATGAATTAAAATTGTTGGTTAGTGATAGCGTTTTTAACTAAAAATATATGTTTTTATCGACTGTTGAGCTTTTAAACTCATAAGAACGTATTCTACTTACTTTGATTTATATATTTTATTTTCAGAACCGTGATATAGAAATAAAAATAAAAATCTATATTTCAAAGAAAAATATTTTGTAGCAACAAATAATGATATATAGAAGGGACATCAAAAATATGAAAGTACATTATTAAATTAAACGATGAATTTGCTTTTGCCAGACATTTTTTGTGCGAGAAAATCTAAAAACGAAGATCCGTCCAAAAATGCTACTTGGGTAGAGATACCAGATAAAAAAGGATACACTCTTTTTTATAAACTAACATTCATTAAAAAAAGATATTCGAATACTAAACTTACCCTTAATGATGTATGAACGTTAGCTTCTTCTGATGTAGCGTCGGCTTCCTCGTGGTCATCCACAACCCCTGAGTCGTCTAAAGAAGATTGTTTACCTTCTCCACTGTTGTTGCTTGCTTGTCTACTTTGAAGACCGCTCCTAGTGGGCCCTCCTAGAAAAAGGAATTTTTGGTACAATCAAAACTCAATCAAAACAATAATTTTGTATTTATAACCAATTTCCTGACAAATATCCTGCATGGCCCAAATTATACTTATCAATCAATCAATCAATCATTTATTTATTTCCATAAAACAATGTACAATAAAATTGTATAGGAATAGTCAATAAATTCTTAAAGCTAACACAAATATATAATACAAAATATACAAAAACAAACACAACAGATCATAATAAAATTATCATATACGTAGGTCTCATATTATAATTTGCAGGTATTCCTCCACACTATAAAAGTTCATTCCCAGCAAATAATTTTTTAAATTTAACTTAAATTTATTTAGTGTCTTACAGGATTTAATTTTAATAGGAAGATTATTAAACATATAAGGTCCTATATTGTGTGGTGATCGATAAGCCACCTTAGATTTACAAATGCTTATATGCAAATCCAAGGCGCTTCTCGTACTAAAACTATGTACATTACAATTTCTCTTAAATTTATCATAGTTGAGAAAAACGTATAGACACATTTCATATATGAACAAAAACGGAAGGGTTAAAATACTAAATTTGTTAAAGTAGTTCCTACAACTCTGTGAGGGCGCTATACCTGCCAGAGACCGTATACACCTCTTTTGAGCAATGAAGACATCTCGAGAGTCACTTGACCAACCCCATATATTTTACACCTAAAGATATAATGGTTAATTCTATTAAATCATTATCTCCAGCTATTTTTCAATTTAAATTTTGTATTAGTTTAATTATATGTATAATTAACAATATAATTAAATAAAAATTAATCTGAACATTTATTGTTATCAAGATTAAAATTTTATTCCTGTTCATAATTTTACCGTATTTGACTCATTTTTCTTCATAACTCAATGTTTGAACTTAAAAAAATGATATTGTTCATAATCCCACATTGTAAACGATAAACAAACTTCTATAGCCTAAAGTTATTCACAAAATGCCATTAGTAGCTTTGAAAGATACCTTTGTATCGCCCGATTTTTTATGTGCTTTGCTTTTAGGACAAGTCGCGTGTACTTTACCACTTAACTCGCCCTTTTTCTCTACCACATTTGTAGCCCTTACCTCCGACCTTTTCTAGTAGTGGGCATAACTAAATCGAATAAAGTTTTATTTTTATAAGGACCTTGATGATGATTGTATACATTTTACATTTCTAATTATAGAACAACCATCAAAAATGCACCTTCTTTAAAGTGTTGTGTATAAATCAGTAAATTTATTAAACGTCAGATTTTTACTACGTGTTCCATATAATTTGTGTGTCTATAGGTAATATTTTATGCCAAATAATTTTTTAATCACGGTTTTTCTTTTTTAGTATACAAAAAATAAAAACTATAATATAATTTTCAACTGTAAATTAACGTTTTAGTCGATTACTAGTTCTTTTTTTCATCAGAGGTTTCTCTGGAATAATCCTTGTATCGGGTCGTACACCAAGATACAAAGCGTGCTCATTATGGAGACACAACCTTTCGTACTAGCGATGTTGTGCCAAGTACCACAGCCCTTTGCATCGCCAAAATTGTGATGGTCGGGATTTGAAGATTTTTTAGGTGGCTTTGCATATTTCTATGTACTAGTCCGTTAGCTGATATAATAATTCGTAGAATCTCAACTTTAGCTAGATTCCATAGCTTTTTGATTTCAGTTGCCAGTTCCTGGTATTTAGATATTTTTTCGTCATACATGCATACATCACTTCTTGGTAAGTATAACCTTTCCAAGGCAGATTTTGGACGATGCATCCTGTATTTAGTGAGTGTTGTTCTGACTTTTTGTTCCAGATGTTTTAGCTCAGTGGTAGACCACGGCAGAATACCAAATGTAAACGTGAGTGCAGGTGCTGCCCAGGTATTGATTGCATCGAAACAATTTTTTGCTTTCAGACAGGTTCTCAGTACAATATTTAATCTGCGGAAAAATTCTTCTTTAACCCGTTCTCTGTTTAATGTTTCTTTGATGTTAAATGCTTGTTCAATTCCCAGATACTTATATTCTTGTTCGATACCTATTCCATCTACTGATGTTCCATCCATCAGTGTTATGCTTTCACTGATCGATTACTAGTTATTATTATGATTAATTTTGACTGCATAATTTAAAATACCCTCTACTCTTATGTTGCAGGGAATCTTGTCTCGGCCGCAAACTCCGAAACATATTGAAATCGACCGAGACAAGCCGTGATTGGTTGTTTGTTTTTTATTGTCATTCGAATTGTCTCGGGAAATGTTCGGAGAAACGTTTCGATCAGTTTCTTTGTACTAAAGAAAATAAAGATTCTTTGTACTGCTTCACGAAGTAGTCAATGTCAAACTTTGTGGTGGCTTCAGAAAAATAAGTAAACATGGAGTATGAATAAATATTATTAGCTTGTAATGGAGTGTAATGTAATACCTCTATATTAAACGAAAAATCAAAAATAGTGCATTTAGAAAACAGTTTCCGATGGTAGATTAAATGTTGATTCTCACTATATCTTCAATATCAGCTCCCTTCCGTTTCCCTTCCGTTTACATAAAATATTATATCATGTAAATGAATAGGACAATGCACTCTATCCGTTCCGTTTCCCTTTCGTTCCATATCTTTTCCTTCCATATATTTTTTTGACGAACGGATTGAAGCGTATCGGAAACAGCGTTATCAAGTTCTTACATTTGTACCAACTCTGTTAACATTTTTCTGATATTTATTTATTTTTTCACCTCTTAATTAAATCTATTACCTTTTTCAAAAGATAGAAAATTTTAAAATATTTAAATTTTTCGTAATGATATAAATTGTACAATAAAAAGTATGGAACTGATACGGAACGGAAGCAGACATATAGCGTGAATACAATCCAAAAAACAGAACGGATATGGAATGTATTTGGAATGAAACGCAAGGTATAATGAGAGTCAATCTTAAAGCAGACAAGAAAAATCGCTGGAAATTATTTTCAAGTTTATAAGTTTGACGCTAGTGGGCATAAAAACAACAAAAACTTGAAAATACCAATTTTCTCTTAAGATTTCCGACTCGAGGTATAATAAAAATATAAGTATTGTATTCTTGAACGAATTACTTGAATTATTTTGGATTAAAATCATTTTTGACTACTCTCTAAAATAAGGTGGAAGAGGCAGTTAATAAATATTTTTAGTTTCAAATCTTGTAATGGAACTTTTTAGCCTTATGTGAAGTATACTACACTCACCGGCAAAAAAAACGGCCACTAAAAACTAGTCCCAATTTCAAAGTTGGATTTCTCGCGAACCACTCATTAGATTTTGATGATTTTTTTTAAATTGTAAATTAATTCCTTCTTAACGGATGCTACGGCAGAAATTTGTATTCCGAATTTATTTCGAGATATACAGGGCACAAAAATAAGACGAAGTTTTTTGCCCGAACTTTTTAACACCCTGTAGGGTGCAGCAGCTGTAGTAGTTATTGCTAAATCAAATCACATTTTAGCCTCGTCTTTTGTGAGCATTTTATTTTTTTAATCACGATATTATCTTTGTTTGTATTGGAGATACGCTGCTTTAAAACAAACGCCTCGAAAAAAGATTTAGTCCATAACTCAATATCCCTTTGAATAAGAAGACTAAGGAAGGAGCATAATGCTATCCATGTATTCATGCATGGTGGGCGGAAAAAGCACCATTAAAGCACTCTAGGGTGGGGATCCTTGACAGTTCTGTTTGACGATTCATTTGACACATTTGAATTTGATTTGAAATTTTGTGGATTTGTCAGTCTTTACGGAGCTTATTTTATGTTATTTATTATTTATTCTACTACTGATAGTTGTATAAAGGTAGTAAATCTAGATGGAAATTGTGGCAGCACTTAAATTAATAGTGACACTATCGCGATTTATCGAAAAAGACTCTAAAATAGTTGGTTGTGTAGCGTGCGGTAGATCTCGGCAAAAATTGAGTGAAATAATGGAACAACTTTTCGTTAGTAAGTGACTATATAATATACATACGTGTAGTAAACCGATCATTTATGAAATTCTCTTAAATTAACTAAATTATATATTTTTCTTGCATTTTAGCTTTTATTTATTACTTGTCAAAGATTAGATGTCAAAGAATTTAGATACGTTAATTTGACTTACCTGCTTCAGTAGCGTATCGGATGTTTGTGGTAATAAATACTTATTATAACTTATCTATTTTTATTAGAATTATATATTTCTATAACAATTTTAATAACTACCAACATTTATTCACAACGTAAAATAAAACAACAAATTATTGAGTCTACCCCACGTCTACCCTACATCATAGTTTTACATTTTTTAAATAAAATTAGAACGACACTGATAAACCGGAATTTAAGTCGGCCATATTTGAGGCCCATCGCGGTGTACCTAAGATTTTTGATATGCTCCTTCCTTAGTCTTCTTATTCAAAGCAATATCCCAATTCACAAGTAAACGCGCAAACTGAAGACGTGCTCGACGATGTCTTGGAAGTAGACTTGCAGAAAAGCTGTTTTCTTTTAGTCTTCGTCGGAGTGTTCTCTCACTGACTTGAGTTCCACGCACGGCTTGTAGCAGATGTTGATTCTGAAACGCTCTGGGGCGGATACAGGAATTTATTTTAGGGGGGGCCCAAATAAAAATTGATGTAGAGAATGCTTTTTAGGTCGCCATTTTTAACCCAAAAGCGTAATATGTAACCCAATTCATAGATCTTAGGGGAGGACCGGGCCCCATGGGCCCCCCTCTGTATCCGCCACTGGAAACGCTGTAATTCTACGATTTCGTAAAGTATTCAGGATAAAAAAGCGGTCGTCAATTGCATTTGTCTTCCGTTTTCTTCCGGAACCCACTGGCCTGGTGAAATTTCCCGTCTCCATATACCGATTCCAGGCATCCTGGACTGTTGTTCGAGGTATACCCAGGGTGTCGGACACATAACGTTGAATTCGTCCATCCTCAATTAAAGCCACAATACGAGCAACATCCGTCACAAATAATGGCATTTTTTTTAAATTTGACAACCGTTGTTGTCATATTGCAAATATTCATAAATCCCTTTTCGTCTACGTCGCCTTGATTATTTATAGATAAAACTTTCTGCCTGCGAAGCATTTTTCCGAGACGTTCGTTTTGAAGCAGCGTATCTCCAATACAAACAGAGATAATGTCGTGATTAAAAAAAAACAAAATACTCTCAAAAGATGAGGCTACAATGTGATTTGATTTAGCAATAGCTACTACAGCTGCTACACCCTACAGGGTATTACAAAGTTCGGGCAAAAAACTTCGTCTTATTGTTGTGCCCTGTATATGCTCAAAATAAATTCGGAATAGAAATTTCTGACGTAGCATCCGTTAAGAAGGAATTAATTTACAATTAAAAAAAAATCATCAAAATCTAATGAAAGAAATCCAACTTTGAAATTGGGATTAGTTTTTAGTGGCCGGTTTTTTTTGCCGGTGAGTTTAGATGGCGTTGTTTCGAAATTTTCAAAAAAAATTTTCATTTTCTTCACAAAAATCTAATAATTTGCTATGACTTTTGTATCAAGTAATCCTAATATTTTAGGAACGCCTAAAAACATTTCTCCAAAAAATCCTATATGGGTATTTCGCGACTGCAAGAAAATCTACAAAATAAAATAGTTATTTTTTGTAAACACTTCTGTGTTAATCTAAAACGGCAACTACTTGTCAGAAGTTAGGTTTACAGATATACAAATTTGCCTAACGAACAAAAAAATGCTTAACGTTTCGGAAAGTTTCTCTCTTTCCGTCGTCGGCGTCGGAAGGAAAAAAAATACAAAGAAAAAAGAAAAAAAACTATTTAAAATATTTAAATTCAACTATTCGAGAACACTTTAGTTTTTTAAAACAGATACGTCTACAAAAAAAAACCAAACTTTCTGTATGACTGTTTTTATTTTTTACGTATGTTATGTTTATTTATGTGATGTTCTTTAAAATCAAAGAAGCGATTGCCATACATTACTAACATCTACAGATGCATGAGCAATACATTTATTTTTATTAGATTGTATTAAAAAGCCTCTTTTATTTTCCTTTTAGAGGCTATCGCTTCTTTCATTATAATTTTGGCGTTATTAAAATTTTTTCTGTGCCCTGTGTCCCATGAATGCTGACAAATCTTAGATTTGTGAAAATCTCCCTTTCTTAAATAATCTTCATGTTCTTTAATTCGAACATTTAAGGGTCTTGATGTTTCACCAATGCAAAATTTATGGCATTCACATGGTATTTGGTATATTATTATTTGGTATTTGGGTTTTTTTGCCCAGTGGCGAAATACCCATATAGGATTTTTTGGAGAGATGCATCAGCCACATAGGTATAGACTTTTCCTAAAAATATTGTTAATTTCAATTTTTTTTATTTTCCTATCTATATTATCTATCCGACTTACCCAAACTTTTATTTGGATGCAGCGTATCCGGATACTTTGGATCTGCCATATGGACATGTTTGTGAACCGGATACGGAATTGAGAGATGTTGGGGCCTAGGCGAGTCACTATTTTGACTGTGCCTCGGACTGGGACTTCTACTGGGCGTCACCGACCTGAAAATTATATTTTCGTTAAATTAGCGTGGAAATGAAAAAGAAACGGATAGAAATGACGATCGATGGCCATTTATCATATAGTTTTACATATAAAATAAGAGTAATCGTTATTTCTAAGGTAACTTGACGCTGTTTTTTTTTTAATTCTAAGGTATGTAGCGATAAGTCTGTAAATTTAATATATAGTAGAAAAATAATGCCCTGTATGTATATTATATAGAGCGAACTAGGCGATTTAACGATAAAACATAATTTATTATTTAAGAAATATATTATGACGTTGATATATCGGAGAATTTTAATTAAAAATTCCCAGTATTACTTTTTAAACATTACTAAAAAAAAGTAACGTTATTTAATAATAATTAAAAATTACACCGATCAACAAGTAAATAGAACTAAATATAAATTGTTTTCAATCAAATGTTCAAAATTATTGTTGTATTACTGAATATACAGGGTGACAATTTGAAAACGGACAGTATTTAATATTACCTCTACCGATGATAGTATGAAAATTTTGCGAAATACGTCAATTTACATATCAAGGGGGACAATTTTTGAGGCATTTGTTGTCGTGTTACTTTCAACCCTTTGACCTCCAGGGCACCTACCCCTAAAATTTTAAATGGGAACCCCTATGTCTTTTACCATTTTTGTATTCCTTATAATATTCTAAAAAATAATGCAGTTTATGTAGAATTCTATAAGAAACACAAAAATGGTAAAAGAAATAGAGGTTGCTATTTAAAATTTTAGGGGTAGGTGCCCTGGGGGTCAAGGGGTTGAAAGTAACACGACAACAAATGCCTCAAAAATTGTCCTCCATGTAAATTGGCGTGTTTCGCCAAATTTTCATACTATCATCGGTAGAGGCAATATTAAATACCGTTCGTTTTCAAATTGTCACCCTGTTCAGGATGTTCCAGAAATAAGTGCAAGAATTTTAAGTAGTAGATCTGGTCAAAAGAAACATATTTGAAAAGGGCACATTACTTTAAATAATTTTCTGAATGAATAAATATTGAGAATTATTGCATATTATCGGCACTTTACGAACTACTTTTAATCTAAGAAAATACAAGTTTCACTCAACAATTTTAAATACGTTTTTGTTTTTTCGCCATCTTTTCGATATAAACTTGCGTAGAAATCGGCCCACTGTAAACTTTTGACTTTAACTGTGTCTTTTAGAATCTATTTATCAGACCAAGAAAAAAATATGAGCTGTTTCAAAGACAATTTAACATGTTTTAATATGAGTATAAATTTATCCAAAGTACTTATCGTTTATATGCGTAGCAACGGGTAAACAAATGAAAGGCATTTGTATTGTAGTGACAATAAGAATAAAAAACTTATCAAATATTGCAATTACTACTTTACTGTTACTTTGTAATCGAAATTTGAACATTGTTCTTTCATTGTTTGATTTGTTACAGTTGAGGGTTGGAACCTCTGGTGTTACACAGCAAAATAAAAACACTAAATCACCACAATACACCAAAACACTTTTACTTTTACACTGGACGCGCGTTTCGCTAACCATGTTAGCATCATCAGCAGATGATTATAAACTGAAAAAAGAAGTTAGTTTATAATCATCTGCTGATGATGCTAACATGGTTAGCGAAACGCGCGTCCAGTGTAAAAGTAAAAGTGTTTTGGTGTATTGTGGTGATTTAGTGTTTTTATGTTGATTTGTTGTGTTTCATTGATTAATGTTTCAATTTAATGCATACATCACGGAAAAAAGCTGCCAAAGTAATCGCTTTAATTGAAAATGGACTTAAACCATGGTACAAAGAATACAAGGTATGATATTGCGCAGGTTGGTCGCTACGTCACAGGTGATAACAGGCGCTATTGGTCAGCACGCTCCGCGCGCCAGTTCAAATCGTCAAGGTATTGTTATAAACCTGTTTTTTTGTTTATATACCGTCATTGAATTATCGCTAAGCAAGTTACTGTGGAGCAGTGCGTAAGGAGTTGGGCTAGGAAGCGAGAGACCGGAGTTCGAATCTCGGCGGGACATAACTTTTTTTAAATACTGTTGTATTCTATAGTTTATTTTTTGTAGTATAAAAGAAAGAACTATTTATTCTGTTATTTTAATCTGCGGTATTAATATAAATTGATTGTTGGTACAATACCTCATTTAATATAAAATAATATTCTACTTTTTGAAATGTATCTGGCCCTAATTGTACCTAAAAGTAATATATTTTTACAGTGATATACCATATTGTAAACTATTTAATATTTCAGTCACTTAAAAAGTTAATTTGCATTGAATAATTGCCTACGATCAAAGGAAATTTGAGCTATATAATCCTTGATGGGCATATTCTGGGTATGCAAATACTTCCTCTAAATTTTGGGTTTCGTTCAACCGATTTATTCTCAAAACCTGAAACATCTACATATAAAAAGAAGCACCAGATCACTAATTATAATAAACTTCACCCTTGGAATTACTTCTATCACAATTACAATACATTCATCTGCATTGGCATTTTCTATTTTTAGATGGGAAACAATATAATTCCCAACATTTTTTAAATGATGTAACAATTCCTCTTGTGGTTACTTTTCCATAGATATCCTCATCTCTGTCCTCATGTGAATTCAGAGGCAATGAACATAAAAATTATTTACCATAAACATCGCAAACTAAAAACCTAATAAACAATTTTATACCGAATATAGAAATAAATTTAGTATTCTTACCTATTATGATCCAAATCCATGTTAATAGATAATTATTATTTTTAAATATATTTTTGAAACTGCTGGTTTTAGTAATTATTAAATTAAACGAACTAAAAAGTCTTAAAAATAAACAATTCTTAACCATAACCCCAAAAAATGCAGATCTCCTGTAAACTTTCTTTATTTTTTATTTATTCATTATTTTCCTAGTGACGTCACAGGTGGTCTGCGCGAACTGAACGAAATTGGAGCCGCTATCGATCATACCTTGTATTCTTTGTACCATGGACTTAAACAGAGAGCTGTAGCTTGGCAACTGCATTTGACACACGGAGCGGTTCGAAGAGTGTGTGAACGATATGAGGAGACTCGATCCTTTCGTAGGCGACCTGGAACTGGTGGAAAGAGATATACAACGGATCGTGATGACCGCTTTATTGTGTCAACAATATTAAGAAATCGGTATCTTAATGCTATTCAGGTGCAACAACAGCTCCGTGAAACACGAGGAGTGACTGTTAGTCAGAGGACAGTAAGACGAAGATGGAAGGAAAGTAACATGACCCCCAAAACACCCGCAATTGGTCCAAAACTTACCCCAGCTCATCGTCAAACACGCCTGCCTTTTGCACGGAACATCTGAATTGGCCACTAGAACAATGGGAATGTGTTTTATTCTCAGATGAGACCAGGATATGCCTCTATGGTAGCGACCGAAGAAGAAAACTGTTCCAGAGGCCAGATGAGTGATTCGCAGAATGCTGCATTGAGGAGCGGATTACTTATGGAGGTGGTTTTTGCATGATCTAGGGTACAATTTCTATGACTGCGCGAACCGACCCAGTTTCTATCCGTTGGGACGACCGTCGCACAGTGGGCAAAAATCCAGAAGTATGTTGCAAAAATTCTTTTATTGTACGATTTCATTCAAATTTGGTAAAAACATTCTATGCCAGTAGCCCGTGAACCCAGTTAGTTTTGGCTGACTTGAGATTGGCTGGGGGTGGTGAGGGGGATTCATAAAATGGAAAAATCATCTTTTGACTAATACAGCTACCAAAATGCGGTAAGAATATTTTACATTTTACTAAATTTTACGATTTTTGGCAGAGCCAAGATGAAACAGACAAATATTGAGCAATTATTACTCCTCCGGCATATACAGGGTTTGTTAGGTTAGATATATATATTGACATCCTCTGTATCTTTTTTATTCGACGTTTTCGAAAAAAGTGTCTTGAATAAAAGTTTAATGGTCTGGAATACATTTTTCAAAACAGTCTTCTTTCCATATACAGGGTGCCTTAGAAATCCTGTGCGTGGCCCAACTTTCTTATTTCAAATTAGTACCCAATTTTTTATTTATTTTTTTTTTATTTTCTCCTAAAAATCCTAACTACTTTTATGTAGCATATCCTATACCTAATTTGAAATAAGATAGTTGAACCACGCTTAGATTTTTTGAAGCACTTTGGATATGCGAAATAGACTTTTTTGGCAAATTTATTCAAAACCACTTTCATTTGAGACAGTTTTCGGAAACGTCAAATAAAAAATATAAAGGGGGTGTCAATGTATAAAAGAAAACTCTAAGTATACTAATCCAATCGAACTTTTATTCAAGATTGTTTGTCATTTGAATAAGTTGGGTCTCTAATAATACCAGACAATATGTGAACAATATTTTATTATTATATTTTAAATAAGTAACAATATTCTGAGACTTAAACAATGACGATTTCGAAAATAACAGAACTTATACCTATTAAAAATATCTAAATTTTATTTTACCACCTACTATTTACTGATATTTGGTTTTATAACAGCTGGAAGCAATGGTCACGAAGTGCACATTTTTAAATCTGAAAGAAAAATCCATTTCACTTAATTTAAAAAATTAGGTACTGTCAAAATTTGTCAATTTGTCAAAAAATGTCATTTGACATTTATGACATACCTCTTCGGAAATCTTGAGAAAAATTACGTCACTTTATATTTCAAGTTCTTCTCTAGCTACTATAACAATTAATTTATGAGAAGTATCCACATAAAGGATCTTACTATACACATAGGCATGGAGACATACGCTTCCAATAAGTTTAAAGTTGCAATTTTTTGGGATTTTTTTGACTTAACTTTTCTAAGATAGAATATATGCCCCTATCAAAAAAACCTTAAATGATTATGTTCTACTTTGACCTTTACCTAGTTTTTATCCAAAAAATCAAAATAAAAGACCCTTTTTTATTTACCTTGACATTAAATTTACCGCAACCGGGAATCTA